AGGCCTCACTACTGTCTTTTAAAACTTCCCTTTCACGCTTGCTCTTGCCTTGACACTCACTCCACCCTGCCTGCCCACACTCTCTGTTTCAGCTCTCTTGTGGACTTGCAGTTTAAATTATCAGCTCAAATAGCTGCTGCAGCCCTGGATAGATGCACTGTGACCCCTGTGAACAGAACGCTTCCAGTGTTGTGCCAAAAAGGGATTAAAGGTTAGTGGCAATTAATATAGAACCTGTCAGACACATCTCAAACATATCTCGCATAAATGATACGACTTTAAGTATATTAGACATAAAAGCACACAGAAATCTGTTTTTGGTAGTCCATCGCTTTGATCTCACTAATTGCGATGACTCAGTGAGCATGTAGCCCCCTCTGCTGGTCGGACCCGAAGAGTGCATGTCCTTATATGGCAGCTGCCCGATATCCAACCCCGGGCCGCCTCCTCCTGTAGGCTGCGGCGGGTGGACAGCCCCAGGAATAAGGATACGGCCAGTCAGCTGTGTGCGTGTGCGGAGCCCACAAACCCCGACAGGATCGTGCGGCTCCCGGATCCCGACCCGTTGGGCTTCAAACTTTACTCTGGAGGAGCTGGTATGGAGTAAAAGGAGCGGAGGGAGTGCGGGTGAGTCCCGCGGAGCTCGGAGTTAATGAATCGGAGGTGGAGGAGCAGCTCGTGGAGTGTAAACAAAGTTTTCTGGGGTAGCTTGTTAGCTAGTTAGCCGTTAGCGCCACAGCCCAGTTGATGCAGTCATAAACAGGAATGTCAGCTTCAAATTAGAGGGCGGAGACTTAAACTTCTAATCCGCGGTGCTCGGATAGATTAACAGGAGCTGTGGGAGTTTTTCCGCTTCAGCTGCGGGGTGAGTTCGTCCAACCTCCAGAGAGCTAAACGCGTTTATCGTGTGATGCTCAGTAACTTTGAACCCCCCGACAAGCAAAGCTGTTAGCTGGTTTGCTAACGTCACACTGCTGTGCGTGTTAGCCTCCACCTCTACAAAATACACATTTTATTACTGGTGTCCACAGCTGATACATACTTGTGTATTTAACGTTGTTTCTGGTGTTGACTACATAATAATTATCTGAGGCTTTCACGGACGTCACGTAAATTCGCTTTCCTCGTGCTTAATAGTTGTAAAGCGTGTTCAAACTTGTTTATATTGTTAATAGTAATTGTTATAATTGTTTGTTTAGCATTTTTTTTGCGTAAAGATACAGCCTAAAAGAATAGTAAAAGTAAAACAAGCAAAAAGAATAAAAGAAGTAGAAAAAAGATTTGATCAAACAAAAAATAATTAAAAATAAAACTGATGGAGTCCTCCCCAGTAAATCAATAAATAAACAAATAAATAAAAGTCCAATTTAAATACAATTAAAATGAAAAGTGAGCAGCAGAAGAACAGATGTTAATCAGGATTCACTGTTGCTGTCACTCAACCAGCTGTCAGCTGAGTTGCTGACTCCCAGCTCTACAGGTTAAAGGTGTTTGTTCTTGTTTTGGTGGTTTGGAATACTTTTAGAAGAACACCAAAACGGATAAATCCTAAAATCTTGTTAAACTCCTTTCACGAACAGCCCAGATATACATGTTACAGAATGCAGTCTGTAGCAGTGCATATGACTCAGTTTACACAGCCCATCCTTTTTATGTGACATTTTATAATCCATCGACCTTTATTCAGCTGTAACTTTGTGTTTAGCACCTTACTTTTACAATTCTTGTCTAAACTTTTTATTCTCTCTGTATGAAGATAAACACACCAAAGTAACAAACCAGTCTAATTTTCCATACGCTCTAATGCAGCCCGCTGGATGGCTTAGATAAAATGCATTACAGTCGATGTAATGCAAGCACAGGAGAATGCAAATGAAAAAGTATTTTTAGATCTAGATAAACTATTTGAATCATACTGTTGTTCAGCTGGAACAGGGAAGGGTTTGTGGCTTTATGGATCCACTATGATCACTAATGTTTCATCACTAGAGGTCAAATTGTTTATGAGTCCATCTGCTGGTTGTTTTGTAGGTGATGTGGCTCTTTTGACTTCATCAGACGGCGACTTCCAGCTTCTACTGAAAGTAGCATTAGGATTAGTACTTCAGAGTCTAAGGCCATGGTTCTCAGAGTGCAGTGAGTCATCAGATGTGTTGAAAATGCAGAATTGGTGAGCGAGGGATCCTGAGGAAGTTCAGCAGGCCAAAGCCTGGCTGCAGGCTGACTCAGCAAATCGGTGCATTATTAATGTGTGACACGGTTTCCATTGAGAGGAGCTGCCAGCTCTGTAACTGGAGCCAGCTCAGCGGGTTTGTTTCACATGTGGATCAGTGTGTCTGCAGTCTCTTCCTGACCTGGATTCTAAAAGTGAGTGAATTTTATTTTTCCCTGTGGTGCTGATTCACAG